TCTCTCCTAAACTCGAGCGAAAACTATCTGCGGAAGAAATCTGCGTGAACGCATTTATTTTGTTGCGAAATCAAGCGAGAGTTTGTATTATCGTATTATCGCACGATTTGCGCACGATAATTCCTGCCCCTTTTCTCTCCTCGTCAAATAAATGATATTTACGCGCGCGTTTACAAATGGGCGAGACTTCCGATTGTTCGCTCGCAACGATTATCTCGTATTTATCGAGCGATCGAAATATCCTCCCCCCTCCCCGTAACGCGACGATACGTAAATCCTCGCGGTTGATATTTTCGGTTCGAGGACGATATTTTTCTACTTTATTTTACCTCTCCCTCCTCTCCCCCGTTTATCCTCTGCCCCGGATAACAGATTAACATCGTTACATTACCACGGTGTAATTACACGGACCGCCGATACGAAAAATGTTTGCGATAAAAGATTGGCTTGTTTTCGTGACGAATTAAAAGCGGCGAGCATCGCATCTATTTATGTAACGCCGCATCGATCATGCGCGCATGCGCGCTAATTCGTTGACTAGCGACGCGAATCGGCGAAATTATAAATTATCGCTCGAATCTTCGGCCACCGCACGCGATTCCACGCGATGCGAGAGATGTGCGACGATATTTATTTTTGCGATCTGATCTTTTTTTCAGAATATTCGGACGAGCCAAGCTCGTCATAAAGTGTGATATTACGTATATGGAAGCGTGTATGGAATAATATCGGACAGGTAGATTCTGTTATCTCAAATTCGAAATAGGAACGTTATTGAAGGAAGGAGTTTTATCGAAGGAGAAGAGGCGAAAAATAAGAATAATAAGAATAAACGTGAGAGCGCGTTGTGTCAACGGGAGTTAAAAAGGATTATAAAGTTTACTCTCAAAAGAAAGGCGAAGGACGTTTTACCGTGATACTTGTCAAATCGAGGATGCGTCTCGAGGCGATCGCTTTATATATCACAACGAGTGTAGAGTTTAATATTTCGACGAGTTTCCCCCTTTCTTCGCGCGTTAGATCATCAGCTGCGAGTCATTCGTTTATTCTTCGAGCCGGGAAAGCGTTACAATTCATCGTAACGCGTCAAAGGATAAAACTAAATCGCGATTCAAATCTACAACACGAAACTCTGTTTGTAATTGGCGCGTTCGTGTCTTTCTCCCGTCGTTCGAGAAGGGAAGGGAGAGTCGACACTTTGACGGATTTACGTTTATTTAGGCGCGGTTTTTCTCGAGCCGAGGGAAAAAGAAAGAAGGGAAGAAAAAAGAAAAAAAAAACTTTACCCCTCCATTAATTTCGATCAACGCCGGCCTTCCTCGCGATCGATATCGGTTAATTACCCGGCCCCCGGTAAAGAGCCGTTAGTAGCATCGCGTCGTAGCCTCATTAATCTTGAGTTTGCGGCAAGCGGCGTATACCCCCGCGCTTTTTCGACCTTCTTGTCCAGAACGGTGAATGGGAAAGCACGTTTTCCCCATCTCCACTGGAGGACGGATCCTCCAGAGAGAGAGAGAGAGAGAGGTTGACGAGCTCGCACGAAGATTATCGAGCATGCACGAAGCGGGAAAGTGGGGAGTGTAGAGAGGGGGAAGGGTGAGTTTGGAGGGCGCAGGTTGGAACGAGAATGGTATCCGTGCGCGAAAGCTCATTGGCAGCATCCAGTGTCATCGCGGACCTCGGGACGCACGCTTCGTTCCTCTCGCGAGGGGAGAGTACGTTTTTTCTTTCCTTTCCCCCGCGCGTCACGATATCTCGCCCTTCGATATTTCGTCCGATCCGGCGGGGTACAACGTGACGACGTGTATCCCAAAGGCCAATGTTTCCCAAACTCGACCACCGACGCGATACACCGTTGCTACAACTTGGACGTGATCGACGAGGCGACGACGACGATGCATCTCCTCTTCCGGATGAAACTTTGCTATAGTTAGTTAGTCCTCTTTTTTCCCCCTCTCCCTTTTCTTTCTTTCTTTCTCTCCCCCTTTTCTTCTTTTTCTTTCTCTTCTCTTCTCTTTTCGTTCGAATCGAGCGATGCGAGATAAGATAAGATAACCGCGGCGATGTCGCGCGACCGGCGTCGTTGACGAGACTTTGTTGTTGGTTGGTGGAAAGAAATTTGGGATTCGATCGAGGGATCGATGGAAGTAGTGCGCGAGGTGTTGCGAAACGGAGGTGTCGGCGGTGGTAGTAATAGTAGTAGTAGCAACAGCAGCAGCAGCAGCAGTAGTAGTAGTAGTAGTAGTAATAGTTGGAAGTAGGAGTGACTGAGGATAAAGCGAGAGAGAAGGAGAGAGGGAGGGGATTTTCCATCCTTTTCGATGATAGGAGGAGATAGCGGCACGTGTTCGCGGCGCACTTTGGCCAGGACTTGAATACACACGCCCTGGGAGAATTTCTCGAAAGGCGATGTTGTGAAAAGTGTGCAAACAAGCCGTGCGCCACGCTTGGATATATATATATATATACACACACATACATATACGCACGTATATCGTGGCTGTTCGGGGAAGTCGGAAGTCGAAGGATTTACCACCGGTGACGACCACCCTCTGGTAAGCTTCATGTTTAGTCCCTCCTCCTACCTCCTCCACCTCCTCCTTCCGAAATGAATTTTCCGGTGAGGCCGGTGTTCTATAATTTCCCGTCGGTCGAAACGACGGTTTAGTCGGCTGCATAAATTTGCCCGCGGCCCCGTATCACGAATTCCATTCCCCCGACGATACGCGCATATCGACTCGACTCCAGGTAAACGTTGGAACGGAAAATAACGCCGATGATCCGTTATTATATTATCGCGCTTTCGAACGGGGCAAAATCATTCGTCAATCGAGTCCGACGTTGCCGATGCGACCAAGCCGCTGATTCGTCGGCGGATGGGAAAAGAGAGAGAGAGGAAAGAATTATACGACGCGACGATCATCGCGCCACTTGTTCGTCGAACAGTGCTACGCGTATACCTCTCGTCTCCTACTTTTCATCATCTCTGCCACCGAAATTAAAACTAATCTCTGCCTTGTTCGAAGTCAAAGCCGAGCTTCCTTTGCCCGCAAACTTTGGAAAGCGTCGGGGTAGTAAAAATATTAATAAAGCAAAGTTCGCCGAATATAATACGCCGTTCGCACGAAAAGTATCGGAACCGGGAGTGGAAAATTGCGGAGGGGAAGAAGTTTAACTTTTAAAAGGAAGAGGAGGGAATGGCTTTACGGGGTGGGAAGAAAGTTGGGGAATGGAGTGCGGTTGATGAACGAAAGTACAAGTAACTGCCTATTCGAAACTCGCGAAATATGCCACGGGTCTCGTCGGGGAATCTCGGAGGAGAAGCTTGGAGGGAAAAAGTGTATGCACTCGATCTTCTGCCCGGTAAGGAACAACTGTTTCCCAATTATCTCCGTGGAATCGCTTTCCCAAAACACTGAGAGAGAGAGAGAGAGAGAGTCGTTTCGTCGATTCTCTTTCAAACGTTTCTTTCGATTTCCTCGGCTCTCGCGAAATTTTCTCGGGAAATTGAACACACTTTTTATCGGGGAACGAACCGAATCGGTTGGTAGAGCGAGAGCTAGTAGTAAAAAGGCTCTCTCCCCTTTTTCCTTCGCGAATTTTCCGAACGCGATCCAAGATAAACTCGTTAAACTCTCTAAACCGATACGACGTTTCTTTTCCCGGGGAAAATTAGGTTTGTCTTAAAAATCGTTGAAAGTGCTGATCTTTCGATTGTCGTTTTTTAAAAAACGAAAAAGCCTTCCCCTTCCTTTTCCTTTCGCCCCTGATGGCCGTTTAACAGCCACGATTCGAAAAGATTCGTCATCGTTCTCGATGATTCGAACGGGGGAGGGGGGGGGGGAGGAGGGGGAAGACGAATAAAAATTCGATCAGAAAACAACGAGGAGAAAAAGTTCTGGCGAATCTAGAAGATCTCGAATCCGTTTTTGAAACCGTTTCGAATTTCGAAATCGAATTTCTTTTCGAGAGAAAAGAAAGAAAGAAAATTCCGTCTCTCTCTCTCTCTCTCTCTCCCCCCCGAGAAACTTTAAACCGGAATCGTAACACGAATCAAGTGGACAATAAAGTCTCTCTCTATTTCGTCGAACGTGCATTTTCACCAGGCGGGATCCTCGGGTCACGTATTCGGTGTAGGATAGTTGTAGCTGTGGAGGCAACTGGAGGGAAGTAAGTTCGCGTGTGGGACGAAAGACAACTTCCCTCTCCCTTCCTCTCTTTTCCATCCCGTGAGAAAGGAGCGGGTAAAAAGTACTTACAAAGTGTCGTGGGCAGCGAAAACGTGTCCCGTAATGCGGAGAAAATGGTAGGTGGGGCCGATAATGCCGATCACGGAAATCGAATTCGACTCTCTCCTCCCGCCCCCCACGTCGTTCGCGAACAAGTGCCACCTGCTTTTCCCCTCGTAAATCATAATCCCCTCCGCTATCTTTGAACGATTTACGATCTATTCGCCAATATGTTTACGCAGCTTTAAATCTTCGACGAGATCGCGTTTCGAAGCTTCGATATTACGAGCACCGCAGAAACACGGGGGAGGGGGGGGGGAATCCTCGAATTCTCACGGTGAAAGAATTTCGAGAAGGAGAAGGAGATAAATCGTTTCGAAAATTCGTCGAAATATGATAAATTAGGGGGAGGGACGAATCGGGTTTCGTTTATTGGCAATTAGCCCGGATTGGGGGCCGAGTATCGGGGACAATCTCGAAAGGAGGATGTCGTATTGACGGAACAAATACGAAAATGGTCAGCGGATAATGATCGGGAAGGAAGTCGGCTAACAAAGACGAATCCTCGAGTCTTCGAGCCAGGAATTCGATTCCTCTTTCCTTCTATTCTCTCTCTCTCTCTCTCTCTTTGCCTTGCCATGATAAATCTTCGATCGATCCCAATTTATTATTATTATTTATTCCAAAAGTGAGATTCGTCTCGAAAGTGTGAAATAATCGAAACGAAAAAGTTATATCGTAAATGTGTTCTGTTGATAGACGAAGAACGGGAGCGTCGGGGCGGAGAACGTGCAAGACGTGAACGCGGTTAGGATGGTTCATCCAGGGTGAAATTGTCAAGGGACAACAGTTTCGTCAGTATGCTGTGGATATTGATCGCTGTGACGTGCATCGAGCTATCGACCATTGCCAACGCACAGTCGAGAAAAACCACGGCCACGTCTATGCGAGAGGATGCGAGCAACAACACCGAGCCGGATCATCCGAGTGAGTATAACGACTCGTGAAACACTTCGAGAGGGAAACCTCTCGAAATTCGCGCCAACTTCGTTTTTCATGATTGAGAAAGGGGAGGATTAATTATATTTGTTCTACTCGTCCCTTTTGTAGACACGAGAATCAACGGATATGCATTTCGTTTCGCGAATTCGACAGAATTCGTGGAATTCGTTGTAGAATTTTGGCCCGGGCTATGCGCGCCAAATAACAGTGTGGTGGTGGTATCAAAGAGGTAGAATAGCGATCCTTTTATATTAAAATATCGATATTGGGTGGTGGGGGGGGAGGGAAATTCTTGAAGCTAAAAAATTGGTAGACGAGATACAAAACGATTCTTTTTTTTTTTTTCACGATCGCGAAAGAAGGGGGGAGAGAAGAACGCGTTGAAGAGGGACCGGGGGGATTTAACGGATTAATCGTGGAGCGTGCACGCTTTATAAGTCGTGGATGAAACCAAACTAATTAGATATGTATACGGTCGGAGCGTCGCCGTGGGACGTATAATTAATGCGATGCGCCCCGGCTAAATGAGAAATTAATTACGATATGGAAATCAGAAGGATCCGTCGCCAGGGGAGAGATCCGTCCCCTTGGACGATTCGGTTCTTTGAACGAAACGGCCGATGCGTGGAAAAGCGACGAGAACCAAGCACACACGTGCTCTTCCAACGAAAGGAACAAATGTCCAACTGGATATATTTTTCACTTCTCTCTTTCTCTCTCTCTCTCTCTCTTCTTTTATTATTTAGCAACGGTTAGGAAAGAAGAGGTTTCCCCGAACGAAAGCTGGCTCAGACGGTTAAATATTAGAGTTAAGAGTTAACCCTCGGTTGTTGAACCGAGGCCAACGTTTGCTCTTGCATGGAACTTGGCTGTTAATTCGTTCCCCGAAACCGGCAGTTTTTTTTTTTTTCGAAAATTTGGGTTTCGAAAGTCCATCCTTGGTCGGGAGAAAATATCGGCTCGATGGATCCAAACCAACGCTTTGGAAGAAAGAAAGAGAGAAATAGAGAGGGCAATTTTTCCGATAATTAAATTGAATATTCTCGAGGCTTGGTCAAGATGAAGTTCTCGGTTGTCCGTTAATCTCGTTGATTAACGAGAGATTCAAAAGCGTGTTGGCCGATTTTATGAAGGTAAAGTTTAAGCCAATCGAAAGAAGTGCCTTCGAATATTAACGAAGAAACGACGTTTCCTTTTTCGAGCCTCGCGACAATTTTCGTTCGACCCGACACTCGAACGAGAGACTCTTTCGGTTAATCTTTGTCGAGGGTCTTCTTCTTGTTCGATCTTGAAAAAAATTTACATTCGCCTGCCACGATATATCCTGTTCCTTGGTCAACGAGTTTACCAAGGTATTTTTCCTTCCGATCGAACTCGAGCAAAGAATTGCACAGAATTCGTGACACGAGCGAGCGCAAGAGATCGATGCAAATTTTTTCAAACTATCTCGAAAACGGGATTTCGAGGGTTTCCTTTTCTTTCTTCACTCTCTCTTCTTCTGAAACGAATAAAAAAAATAGGGGTTAAAAAAAAATCCTACTCCCTCTTGGATGGAGGGAAGAAAGGGAGAGGGGGAAGAAAGAAGGCTGTAAAGAAAAAGAAAAAAAAAAAGTCCACGGTAAATACACTTTGCCTTTACCCCGACGGTATCTTTTTAAAGGGTGGAAGGGCGCTCGTCGAGGGAAGGAGAAAAAAGGAAGGAGCGAAATATCGCGTAAAAATTACCTCCCTAAGGGGATGCCGAAACGGAGAGAGAGAGAGAGGAGGGAGAGTTTAGATAAAAATTTCCTACGTTTGTCACGGTCCTTCCTAATTAAAGCTTCCGAGATTAATGCCCGGTAATTTTCCACCGCCCCTGGGGCAATCGATATTTTTTCCCTCGAACGGAGGAGGAGGAGGAGGAACAACGAGCCCTTCCAATTCTTCGAGAAAAGAATCAGGATCATCGTCCTTCGAACGTTGTCTCATCCTTGAAATCGGCCGCGGTTACATTTATCGCGTAAATCGAGCGATGTAAGATCGAGAGATAATTGAATATAATCACTCGAGAAAGTGTGTCCGTGTGCGTTTCATGGGGTGGATGGCGTTGAACTTTAAACACATTCGATGAAGTTCTTCCCGTCGCGTGGAGACGACCGCATTTTGGATATAAGCCGCTTTCGCGCTTTCCCTTCTTGTTGGTACAGCGGTAACGGAGCACGACCTGCCCACCTGCTTACTCGAAACAACGATCAAGCCGCTCTAACGAGCGAGCTCTGAACTAAGCTTGTTAACCGCGCAGCGAACGTGCGCAAGAAACGTCGAAGTGAAACGGATGCGTGTGTTTTAACTCCATGTGCTTCGTCTGTCACTGTTTTCTCCCCACCCTGCTTTTTCGAGTCGCTTTCCGTGGCGAACCGACGCGGTTGCCGAAAGAAAGAAAACTGGAAACTGTGCATCGTGCAAAGTGATTGGTGGATATTCGTGGAGAAATAAACGATAATTCGTTCGAGTTATGCGTGTGTCGGTGTTCGGTCTCGAAAAAGATTTTATAAGATTTTACGAACTATAAGGAGGCGCTGTAAAAGAAAAAAAAAAAAAAATAAGAATAAATAAATTCTCACGTTATAACCTGTTTCGTGGCGAAAAACTTTTACGCGCAAACTTTCTTCCTCTCTTTGGTAATTTCAAAGCAAGTATCCCCGTTTATTATCCCCGTAATACGTAACATCGAACGAATTTTAGATACTTTTCCAATTTCGAAACATCTTCTTGAGGACCGTTTTAATTTTTCCCCCGTTTAATCACCGCCGCATAAGCCACGTTAAAAGCAGGGGCAAGCCGATAAAGGAGGACCGTCGTCCCAAGAGCCGATATTTCGATACAGCGTGCTAAGCTCCTCTGCGACACGAACCTCGAAACGAACGTGAAATAATAATTACCTAATTACGTACAACTCACAGGGGTGTATTAAGAGGATTCCATGTTCTCGCACACTGGATGCAATCCCCAATGAAATTTATACGCGACATCCACGGTGTCGAGTCGATGCGATAAGAACTTACGGATCTCCGTTTCGCACCGACGACTCCTTTCTCTCTCTCTCTCTCTCTCTCTCTCGAATCGAGCGAGACGAATACGCGCATGCGCAAAAAAAGAAGAAGCAGAAGATCACGTTCGAACGTAACCGTTGTATCGTCGTCAAACGACACACCGATCTCCTCTTATAACTAAAACCAAACGCTTTAAGCGGTTCGAATCGGTGGGGAACACCATTGACCTGGATTCACCTGGAAAATTTAGTAGCTAAAGAATTCAACGAGATCGAATCGCGTTTCCTCGATCGAAAAGACGTTTAAAACTTTCTTTCTCTCTTTTGTTTTTTTTTTTTTTTTTTCTTTTTAAATTAGAGTAACGCGCGCGCACAGATTCGACGGTTTTATTCGAACGAGGCAATTTCTATCGCCTCGATAAAAACGGAAGATACAAACATCGACCCTCGTTTCTGCCATATCGATCTCGCTCGCAACGTTGCCCTCCCCCTCTCCCACCCCCCTTCTCTCGAGTGGCGCGCACCGCCATTATTTTAATAATGTTTCGTTAAAGGGGACAAAGGGAGAGAGGATATTAAAACGTACGCATTTTTCGAATTTAACCTCGTAACCCGCCCTCTCTTCTCTCTATCTATCTATCTATCTCGTTAATATCCTTTCCTCTATCTCTGGCTAATTACCCCGGCTTTCGATTCGAAAGGTTAACCGTTTGCACTCGGGACCAACAACACCCGACACGATTTGCTAAATTTCTTAGCCAAGTTAAAGTGATTTCACACAGAAATTAACGTATAAATTAACTTTTATATTTTAATATTATATCCATCTTTACATACAAAGAGAGAAAATTTGTTGAATATTGAAAAAAATCTATATTGTTGCGTGATATTTCAATGACAAAGCAACTTACTAGAGATGCATCCTCGATTTGTCAGATAAAAAAAAAAAAACATCTAACCATTCGATAATATATATTAATTCCACACCTTACAAGATTTATTATACACGTGAAGAGCTTACATAAGAATCTATTCGTGAATCATTTCAAAATATTTCTTGATCACGATTTTGATAGCCCGTGTCAGGTCGCTCTCGACGAAATTCCCCAATATTTTCAATCCGGCAAATACACCGTTAGTATCTTTCTCGAAGTGGCTTTAATCGGCGCGCAGCAGATGCACGCGAATGTACCACGCATCCGCGGTTAACGTCACAAAATCCGGTGGTCAATGAAACGCGGTTATTAAATAACGGCTTGTAACCGTAATCACGCGCTAATATCACGGGCGCATTTGCGCGAAATAAATTCGGCCGGACACATATCGACAATATCGACACCGCCCTTAACTGTTATTATCTGCCGCCGCTGTTTCTTTTTTTTTTTTTTTTTTCTTTTTACATTCATATCCGGACGATGTTAACACTAAACCTACCTGTAACGGTCAAATTGGCCGTTTTCAAACTCATGGCCATCAAACTTTACGACTTTTCCTAAAATATGCAAAATATATTCTTCGGTATTTCAATTTCTTTTTTTTTTTTTTTTCTTCCGTAAAGTCTCGTTTATTAATTATACACATCGAAAATCTAATCTTTCAGAAATATGCTAAGTTTTGGTTTTTTTCAAGTTTATAATTATATCTAAATTATATATAAAAATAAATTCGGAATAAATTAAGCATCGGTCATTTCGTTGACGACCCAAACTGTCGATAGAATTAATGTTAACGAGTCATTTTCTCCGCTCTCGCGTTACTTTCTTCATTCCTTCCCTTTTCTTTCGTATAATCGGAAATATGGAACGATGCTAAGTGGAGCACAAATTCGAATCGAAGAGAGAGAGAGAGAGTAATGACGTCGAGCGATTGATCAAAGGAAGGTAAACTAACTGGTAATTAATCGAGTTGCACTCTCTCGAGGGTGGGCAAATATTTCGGAGGATTGGTTTTCCGC